GGATGTCATTTCACCTCTGATGAAAAACAACGTGGACACGGGACTTATAAACCTCGAATTATGCATTAGATTCTGGGTGGAGAATATGACTATAGGGAGGCTACTCAGGTCCCCATTATTCGAGGCAAGACATGGGATTGGTAAAGTACAGACAACACTAATTACAGGACCTAGGACAAAAAGAAAGCACAAGCCAGTTGTGAAAAAACATTAGTAATGTCCAAAGCAAGGGCAGCAAACCATTAAAGTGTGGGACCTTAGAGAAGCTTAGTTGGCCCTGAATTTGCAAAATATTTGCTGATGTTTTGAAAAAGAGAAAGATACACCTTACAGCTTGGTGTGGTTTTTTTTTTTTTTTTTTTTGGTCTGTTTTTTCAAATTATAAAGACATGGTTAATAAACAACATGTGGCAATATCTAAAAATTCAACATAAAATAGTATTTCTTACTCAACTGAGCTAACTCTTATGGCTACAAAGATGACTGGTCTGAACTCTGCCCCTAAAGCTAAAAACGTATCAAGATTACATTTTGGAGGAGAAATTACCTTGACTGTGAGGACACTCATCCAAGTGATGGATAATCATCAAGGGCTTGTTGCTTTAAGGAACAAGAAGATGGAATACATGTTAATGGACGTCATGCCATGTTCCAGATCACTAGAGGGTGCTCTTGAGAGCACTGGCAAGAGGTCTTTGGAATCCTGGTCTTTACCTTGTCTTGGATTTATACAGAGCTTCTTCATATGTCTGGGTCCAGATGAGTTGATCACCCCAACCTAGAACAAAAGCAACCAGCGAACATAAATCTGTTGACAAACAATGGAAAAACTGCAATAAAGACCCAACCATACTAGAGAAGAAAGATCCCAAATAGAAACATACAAATTATGCCAAATCTAGGACACATATCAAAATATAGTCATCACACAAGTTGCAGCATGAGTTCCAAAAAAGCCAACAAGAAGTTGACTTCTACCTCGGGAGAGGGTCTGAGGCAGTTTGGGCCGGGGGTCTTTTGTGTCCTTTTTAGCTCCGGGTTTCACTGTGGTATCCTTGGCTAGAGTATACGAGAGGGCCACCAGGAGCAAGACTGCTGACACCGATATCTTCTCCATGGCAGATCTGATAAGGGAAACAAAGTCAATGAAGCAAGGCTGAATAAGCCTTTGTCAGTGTAGTGGTTACATATTGGGCTGTGATCTGCCTGGTGGGCAGTTCAAAACCACCAGCAGCTTCATGGGAGGAAGACTGGGCTTTCTACTCTGGTAACTCGTTCGTTACAGTCTCGGAAATTCACTGGGGATCACTATGAGTCAGCATTGACTCGATGGCAGTGAGTTTGGCTTGGAGTGTCTTCAGATGGCATCCCAACAGTGGGATACAAGAGAAACCGAGGTTCTGCTATGACTGAGCACATGCGATTGTCACAAAGGCTATCTACCACAAGATTATTCTAAGAAAATGTGATATGTGCAAGTGTCTGTCTCTCCCATCTTTGTATAGGTCCATATGCTATAGGTATAAAAGTGTAGATTCATATAGAGATAGATATCTATATAGAAATCTCTGTATAAAGACTTAGCTAGAGGTAATTGATCTTGACTGATAATATAGATGAATTTTAAATATATAGTAGAATACATATAACACATAAATATATAGTCTAACAAAATAAATGATATACATAGTAAAACCTGCAAAAGCTGGAACCTGTGTAAGAGAGAAACCCATTAGCGAAGGAAAGTTAAAATATCTTCCACTGAAATGAACAACAGAAAAGTGGTAAAAGGACTTCCGGGACTAGGAAGCCTCATCTTTCTCCTGTGAACCGTTGGTGGTTTTGAACTGCAGACCTCGCAGTTAGCAGACCAGTGCGTAATTATGACACCACCAGGGCTCCATATTCAGGGCAGTTCATGCCACTTACATTGAAACATTGTGTTTAAAACAATATAGTATTGAAGGCACCTTAGGGGTTCGCTCCGTTTTTCACCTCCCCAATGCCTCCTTGTCTAAGGAAGAACCTCAAACAGTGAGAGAAAGTGTTGGCTGTTTTGCTGTGTGGTTCCCATGTTTTCATCCTGAAACTGTCCTAAACATGCACAGTTCTTCAACCTTCAGTTAACATGGGGACATTGCCTTAAGAAATGAGAGCGGAGTAAAACAATTGCTTACTTTATTTAGAACCTGCCAGCTTTGTCACTTAATTGATGACTTGTATCCTCTAATTCTCTTCTTCTGTCTGACATGTATACAAACACTCTATTAGCTCCGAGTTGAACAGAATGCACCACGTGAGTTCCTTTCAGTGGCTCTCTGGCTGGGGCTGTCTGGATAGGTGGCTGTGAGCATGTACTTTATGTACAAAAATATTCGATGTGACTCACGAAACAGAAAAACAAACCCCACTGTAATTCTGTTAAATTCCTTTTTTCCTTTCCAGTAACCTACACTTAATTCTTATGAAATCAAATAAACTCTGCAAAGGAAGCCCAATGGTCTGATAGGTTTAATGGGGATCTTTACCAAACTCTGATTTTTAAAAAGTCCTTGCTAAATTATCAAATTCCAATGGCTCCCAGTATTGAGCTAACCAATTATTGCCCAAGCCATTGTATGTAACTGCAAACCATCTTACTCATGAAAACAGGAAAGCAAGAAGCTGAGAAATATTTTGTTTCTTGATTACACCTATAAAGAGGCAGAATTGAGACACACACACACACACACGTTTGTTTCAAACACAATGTATAAGAATTGCTGAATGCAACACTAATCTGCTCTGTGAACCATCACCCACTTCACAATGAAAAGTGGGAAGAAATAGTTCCTAGAGTTCTACAAGGGTCCCTAGTAGCACAATGGTTAAGCACTTAGTTGCTAACTGGAAGGCTGGCTGTCCAGACACATCCACCCAGCCTCGCCTCAGAAGAAAAGAGCTGGCAATCTGCTCTCAGTAAGAGGACAGCCTAGAAGTCCCGCAGGGGCAGTTCTACTTGGTCACCTGGTGTCACTCTGAACTGAAATTGACCGAATAGCACCTAACCACAAATTCTGCAGAAACAACTCAAGTCCACAGTCGGCCAGCACTTCCAAGTCTTCTGCATGAATATTTGTTTTCAATGGAAAAGAGGAAATCCCAAGAACTTCTCCGTGAGAATAATTCTACTTTTGGAATATTAACTCAACCAGAAATGCACTGTGGCAAATACTGTTTGAATATATCTATCAGTATTGATCAATATTGGATTCTGTGTTTTATTTATAACAGCAGCATCTGTAGATAATAAACATTTGAAAATATAATAGCAAATTGATGGTGAAGGATTTTACTTATTTAGTCCACTGGCAGAACTTGCTTTGCAAGTGGCTACTAGAACCCCTCACAATCACCCTGCAGCTTTCAGGTTGGAGCAATTGGTATAATACACTCATGTTCTGTGGCAGGATAACTCAAGGAAGGCTAATGTAAGTCCAGCTGTACAAACATCCTGCTCTGGGCTAACTTTCTGAGATTCTGCCTACCACGTTTTCATAATCCGGGTAGACTCTGCTCTGTAAACTTCTTGCTTAATCTCCTGAACCCACTCAAAACAGGGTGCCAACAGAATGGAAGCTATTGATGATTTGGAGAGACATCCTATGAAACCAGCCTTTTGCTGGCCACTTTATTCTTGATCTTTAACAAGGAATGAACTAGCAGGAGGTTTGGGTGTTCCTATTTATCAACGCTGCAGGGAAGCAGCCAGCTCTCTCCTCTAACAGCCTGCTCTGTGAACTTAAAGACCAAAGAAGCAAGAAGACCATTTTTACATCAGACTGTTTTCTCATTGGTAATACATTTCAAGTGGGCAATCTGAGCTGGTGTCTGTCCATTTTAGGAGCTGGTGGGAGAGCAGCAGACATCTGATGGTGACTAAGGAAATCCCTGGATGGGCTGGCACTCTCCCAGGCTTGCAAACTCTTAGCGTTCACTCCCATAAGCCTCCTTTTGCCTAAAAGAGAAAGCAGCTCAGGAAAGTAACATTTTGTCAGCTTCAATCCCCCTCCCACCCACCTCCTGCAAAATGACCCCAAGAAACCCTTGCGTGGAAATTCCTGTTTGCCCTCTCTACCTTCTACTTCGTTGCCCGGAGAGCTACCACATTCTCCTCTGGAGAGGTCATGGCCTGAAACTTTGCAAAGCAGCCAGAGGCCAGAGCTCATGGAAGCAGGTGCCTTTCCAGAGCTGTTTTCAGGAGCCTTACCTGGATTTCCCCACCCACCTGCCTTGTGCGCGCTGGCCAGGATGCGGTCCAACCTTCAGACTGTGTCAGTGAAGTCTGAGCCTCTATTTATGCCCCAGCGCACACCTCAATCCCACCCACCCGACCTGTATTTACCTGTTGCGAACTCGGAAGCTAGCCTCCCCTTTTCCAAACGGTTGACTTCCGGGGGCTAAAGAGTTCTTTGTTTTCAGAATCGTGTTGCTAAAGGGATGCTTTTCTGTATGCCTGCTTTTGACGGTTTGTGAAAGTATATTGCAAAGAGACTTGGAAAAGATGGGCAGAATGCCAACTCCAGGTAAGCTTGAAATGAAGAAATTTGATTTGCCTGAAGGCTGATCTGTCTTTACCTGATTGGCTGGGGTTTGTGGTTTGTAAGTTTTTTTTCCTTCCCCTCCTTCTTGGGCAGACTGCATCTATTTCATTGAAAGCACACACACGTTGATTCAGAATTCTAATCCTTACAGTGATAAAGCCTGTTTGCATTATTTTCCCTGGTATACTTCTTTCTGGCAAAAAAAAAAAAAAGTATATTCATGATAGAAATTTTAAAGAAAAAAGTCTAGCTCCCCACAATATTTCAAAGCTGAGGAAGTTATTAAAAAGGGACATCGGAATGCCATGAGCTTATAATCATGGTTATTGGAGGTGTACAGCAACTTCCTCCCAAAGAGTTCAGAAACATGTCACAGTGATTTTCTCATGTCATGGAAACTTCCCTGTTAGGTGTGCAGGAAGTCATCTGCCTGATTTTCAGACCTAGACATTAAGGTTTATAATTTTTCATCAATTAAGTTTGCAATAATCATGATGGTCTTTAAGACTTTGGCGCGTATATGCTCCGCGACACTTCCAGCTCTGCTTTGCTCCTGGGGCTGTCTGGAATCCTGACACACCCGGATGACAGGCGTTTGACGGGAGATGCAAGCCCTATAGGTGTGATTTTTGAAAATGAGTTAAGATCATTATATTTCACAATGTTTTGAAGTATTGGGTATTGGGGAGTTTTGCTGTTTGTTGTTGTTGAGTCTTAAACTCTATGGACAAAACAGTGACTCCCCAAATAATGATTTTTTTTCAATTTTGACTGAAAATCATGATTGAGTTAAACTCTTAAAATGGAAACCAATCCAATCCAACTGCTGTGGAAGCATTTCTGACCCCACAGGCTAGAGCAGCCCTGCTCTCGGTGGTTTCTGGGGCTGTCACTATTGACACAGGCAGACGGCTGCATCTTTCTCCCATGGAGCAGCTGAACCCTTCCGAGAAGCAGCCCCACACACATAACCCACGGTGGCACTCGGGCTCCTTTACAACTAGAGAGGTCTGTGTATGATCCTTTAGTCTACTCAGCCCTTCTCAAACCAAATCACTGCCATCAAGTCATTGCTGACTCATAGAGAACCCCCAGCCCCCACCCCCAGTGGGTTTCTGAGGCTCTAATTTTTTACAGGAGTAGAAAGCCCAGTCTCTCCTGCACAGTGGCTGGTGGTTTCAAAGTGCTGACTGTGCAGATCAAAGCCCAATTTGTAACACCGACACCACCAGGGCCCCTTATTCAGCCCTTATGATTCAAGTCAAACCATTTGCTTTGTACCTGAAAAAATAAAGGTATCAGAAAACATTAATGGCTTGCCGAAGGTCTCATAACTACCTTGTGGAAGAGGGGAACCCTCTGGTCACTATGTGTTCAGAGTGGGACATGGATGGGATTTCAGACTAGATTTCTAGTCTCAGTCCTTCTGCCAGCATTCTCTCATAGATGATTTCCCATCCATTAACCACTGGGCCAACTCAGACGCAGAGAGGCCCAGATAGGATCACTGAAGCTGTAAATCTTCCTGGGAATAGGTAGCTTCAACTTTCTTCTGTGGAGCAACTGGTTGATTTGAACTGCCAACCTTGGAATTTGCAATGTTTACTTGACCGCGCCATCAGGATTCCTTTGATGAATTGTTGTTGTTGTTATTGTTAGGTGCCAGATAGAACCCATGACGACCCCGTGCCTGGTCCTGGGCCATCCTCACACTTGTTTCTGTTCCTGAACCATGGACGTAGCCACGATGTGAAGCCATGTCCTTGAGGACCTTCCTCTTTTCCACTCCCCTTCCACTGAGCCAAATACAATGTCCTTCTCTTGGCACTGATGTCTCCTGGCAACATGTCCAAAGTATGGAAGATGACGTTTTGTCATCTTTACTTCCATTCTGGCTGTACTTCTTCCATGACAGATCGCTTTGTCCTTTTATCTATCTTTTTAACAAAAATGTATTTATACTTTTAGCAGTCCATGCATGGCACTTTCAAAATTCTTCTTCACCACCACAATTCAAATGCACGGATTCTTCTTCAGTGTTCCATCCGCATTGACCAACATGCATAGAAGACAATTGAAATCACCATGGCTTGGGTCAGGCACACCTTAGTCCTCAAAGTAACATCCTTGCTTTTCAATCCTCTAGAGAGGCCTTGTGGAGCAGACTTACCTAATGCAACTCATCTATTGATCTCAGGACTGCTGCTCCATGAGCATTGCCTGTGGATCCAAGCCAGACAAAATCCTTGACCACTTCAACCTTCTCTCCATTTATGTTACCTGTTGGTCGAGTTGTCAGGATTTTGGTCTTCTTTACACTGAGTTGTAATCCATACTGAAGGCTGCAATCTGTGATCTTCATCAGAAACTCACAGGGGCAGTTCTATGCTGTCCTATAGGGTCCCTGTCTGCTGGCAGTGAGTGAATGAGTGACCTAATCTCATGTCCATACCATCCCAGTGTGGATCAGAGTCACAAACTCACAGCAAAAAGGCAGTCCTTATGGAGCTCCCTGGCCACAGATCATGACGGCATAATGGCTTAGCACTTTAATCTCAGTGTGAGGCAACTAGGGTTTTGTAGATGATATGAATGAGCCTGGAGATACCCGGGTGAGGGTTTTTTCTTACATGTTATCAAACTTTCCTGCTTTCAGCAGGGTGTGTGTTGTTTGGGATTTGCCTGCCTTTGTAAGAATGGGTTGCTATTAGGCAGATACCCTATCCTCTGAGTTGAACTTCATCTTGTGATTCATAACATAATGCTTGATTAACAAAACTAAACTTGATATGAATGAGCATAACAGTGGTCCTACTAGATCAAGTTAGTTTTAAAGATTTTTTCTTTTATTTTAGGCATTTTTGTCACTTTTTGCTTTGAAATATTTTTATTTAAAATATTCAAGCATATTTTAAAGCATTTTATTTTCTATTTTTGAGTACAATTTGATGATATAATAATTAGCACTTATCGGGCAACCTGTGTACACTAAGCACTTGATGAACTTGACTAAATCCTCAAATATATAAAATTAATTTCTTCATCAAATATTTGTCAAACCTCTAAGGGTAAGTAAAAAGTATTGCTATAAAATCATAGAGACCTTCAAACAAAAATAGCCAAACGTGAAGCTTTTTCAACATATTCTTCATCTAAGTCTCTACACCTGCTCTGTAGGTGATGTTCCTGCTTTCCTAAACAGAGCATTCTGTCTTTGGCTTCCACGCCATGCCCCAACAGCGGCGTGGGCATCCTTAAGGAATTCAGAGTGAGTTCCTTTTCAGCAACGAGGAATAAACTATGAAGTGGGCGAGGTCAGAGTTGGCTGGAGATGGGCTCTCCCAAAGGAATGCACCTCTACGCATGCGCAGGTGCATGGCTGGGGTGGGGCAAAAAGGATTAGTTCAAGTTTCCTGGTCTCTTTCTCACCAGTGCGGGTTTTCAGGTTTCTTCAAAGCCCCCAGAACTAACCTCTGTCTTCATGAAAGTCTTTCAAGACAGCCCCTTGAGAGATCAGTCTCCCCAAATAATTGCCAGAAGCTTCCGAGTGGGCTTCTCCCCTTGAATTGAACTGGCTGAGGAGATCCTCTCAGAAGCCACTGTTTTTCCTGTTGTTGTTATTGTTTTTGAAGAGCTCTTCACAAGATTAAGACCAGTGCGTTACCGAGAGAACTGAATCCATTCGCCGATCCTAGCAACATCTTTAAACAGGTTTTGTTAGGGATAAGCCTGTACAAGTATGAACTGAGACGCTAGTGGAAATACCTTTTTTTTTCACTTGCATTTACATTTTGTAGCAAATGATACAAAACGTAGAATTAAAGGCATACAGATAAAAAGAGACATGGTCCTTTCTTGAGAGAAGCAGATGCGTAAATCGATGATAGTACTGTGGAAAAAACACGAGGAGGTTTGAGGCCCTATCCCTGACATTCAGCTACTTCCTATTAGGGTGAAGCACTAAGAAGCAGCCCTCCCAAAATGACCATCCAGTTGAGAATAGCCTGCCACAACAGACAGGCAAGTGCTACAGGCATCAGACCTCATTTTTCAGAGAACAGATGCGAAACTAGGTCCCCCCCGCACCCCGCCCAGAGTGAAGACGAGTGAAGAAAATCAGGAAATTCTAGGAGCTAATTTGTTGCAAAGACCAACGGACCAGGTGAAGCAGAGCCTCTACTTCCCTGAGACCAGAACCCGATGAAGTCCGGGTACCACAACTACCCACTCTCACTGGACCACAAGAGAAGGTCCTAGAGAGAAGGGGTGACAAATTTAGGACAAAATTCAAAATCACAGCAAAGACCAGACCAGCTGGTCTGATAGTACCTGCTGGAGCATCCAGACTACGGCCCTTACACAAACGCCTCAAACCTGGAACGGAACCAGCTTTCAAGAATCAGCTTTCAGCCAAATCCTACATCTGCCAAGCAAACAATCACACCATAAGAAAGGTAATCCTGAGACCAGTCAACCTGATGAGACCAACAGAGCTGCCTCACTGCCAAACGAGTCAATGCTGACTGATAGGCATTTCCAAAACTGTACCTATTTATGGAGTAGAAAGCCCAGTCTTTTCGCCAAAAAGCTGCTGGTGGTTCTAAACTACCGACTATGAGGGTGGCAGCCCAACACGTACCCACTACACCCCCAAGACTCCTTTAAAAGAGCTGGGATTGCTCCAAAACAAAGCTCAGCAGGCGGAAAAGGCAGGGAGGGAGGAGGAATGGAAACAGAATCACAGAGAACAGCGCTGTGGTCCCGTGGCGCTTACACGAGCAGCTCTGCGGGGCAAAAGATGGGCTTTCCACTCCCGAAACTCAGGGGCTTTCTACCCTGTCCTGTAGGGTATGAGTCGCCATGGAGTCGATGGC